ACATTACTTTACAACTGCTTAATGCAGTACTGATGTATCTAGTAGTTTAGTGGGTTTAACTAATGTCACATCTGTTTTTATTCATTTCAGATGCAGAAACTTTTGACATATGAATTCATCTTGACTAAGGGTAAGGTTTTTGTTCAGAATTAATCATTATTTAAAATCATTGTATTTTCTTTGTTATTATGTACAGATTTTAAAAGAATGTACTTTCTTTTAATAAAGAACTCTTCACAGCACTGCACCTGAACAGTCACAACCTCACAGAGCTGCACAACTGCCCCACTCAGATCAGTGTTGAAGCTGGAACCTCATCTTGTGTACAGCAAAGGCAGAGCTGAAAATTGACTGTTTGTCTTGTATTGTGTGGTAAGTCATAGTTTTATTATTTTTTTTATTTTATTGCAACACTAAGTAGTCCATTCTGTGGCCAATATGATATAAAGGGCCTAAAATGGGACTGACGTGATCATTGTTTTGATTTCTAGATAAGTACTCATGGGGCTACACATGCAGCTGAAGTTAGCTTCATTGAGTAGGACATTTCTTTCAGTATACTCTTAAAGAGATTCACCCAAAAATGAAAATTCTGTCATTATTGACTCATCCTTCACTTGTTCCAAATATGTCTGACTTGCTTACTTCAGTTAAACACAAAAAAATTATATTTTAAAGAAAGATGAAAACCTGCAAACATTAACTTCCATAGTATTTGTTTTTCCTACTATGTATGTCAATGTTTTCAGCTTTCCAGCTTTCTTCAAAAAACTTCCTTCATGTTCAACACAAAGTAACTTGGAAGTTTTTAAAAAATGTTTACAACCATTTAAAGGAGAGTAAATAGTGAACTGTTCCTTTAACCCAATCTAGTTGACTTTACTAGAAAATTGTATAGAAACCCAGTGGCTTAAACCCCTTACATTTTATACAAGGTACAACTTAACAGCCATACTTGAATTAAAATATTACTGTAAGTTCAAGAAGATTGTAAAGGTTCTAGGTTAATTTAAAGTGGGCTGTTTAGTTTCACCTTGTGTAAAAACATAAAGGATTTAAGGCAACATGTTTCGATGCAGTTTTCTAATAAAGTCAACTAGTTTGGGTTAAGAGTGTAATGGGTTACAGTAATAGCAGTGAATCATGCAGGCATAAAATAAATGTTTAGCCATGTAAAGCAATAAGCTTGTTATAATTTAGAAATATTTTAGGGTGAAGCACAGTATGCTGTTGTAGTTTTCATATAATTGATGAGTCAAACATGAGATGTGTTTTAAATTGCAAGACGTGAATTAACAATATGTTCATCAAGATTCAAATCTTGCATCTTATATTTTTTAAGGTTTTGGCCCAATAATACCCATATTCTGCTATTTAAAAAATCATGCTGGAATTTGTGTCAGCATTCCCTTCAATGAAAACTACAACAGTGGACATCAGTGGTGATAAAAATGTATGTGAAGGATAAGGGTGTTCATAATGAGAAGTGCAGTTACTATCCTGATCTCTGAGTTTGTAGAACTGACAGATCTGCTTGGAATAAATGGAAACATGCTGGAAATGTTTAACCTATTATACAGTTAATTCAAGAGTGCCAGGTTTAATGACACTTTACATATATAAATAAACATCACTGAACTTTCTAAATGAAACCTAACACTCATTCTTTGTTCAGTAATGATGTTGTGCACTTCTAATACTTTACAGTGGCAAAACCTGGAATAACACATGGGAGCCCTCCAGGAATTGCTGACACTTTACGCCCAAGTCTCCTCATGCTAACCGGATTGCAATATGACAGTCTAGTCAGCATAAACACCTGGACTCACCAAGCACACTTTGGTTCTCAGTGTTTTGTAAAAATAGTTTTTGCTATTCTTCAGTAAATACTTGAATATGTTTTGAACTTATTCTACTTTTGATGTTTAAGTTCAGAAAGTTGTTATTATAAACATAATTTGCATTTGTCATGAACTTGACTTGTTGTTGTGAAAGCTGTTTATTATGATGGCATTTCCAAAGCCATCGTTTGAAAAGATTTTTTGCAGTGCAGTTTTACTTGAGCTTGACATACCAGATGTATGACATGAATAAATATCACAAAATAAATATAATAATAATAATACAAAATATACATTTCCTTCAATTATAATTGTTTTTAATCATTTATATATGTATGGTAATATATTATTGCATTAAAAACTTATAAAATATATATTTTTGGTTAAAATATATATTTTTGCATTTTTGTGTGATTTTTATTATTTATTTTTATTTGTGGCATTATAAATAAATTATAAATGTTTCATTAAAAATGTATTGTGTTTATTTGCATACTCATTTACAATGAACTACTATTTATACTATTTAATGGGCACTATATTTGTCATTTAAGTTTGACATATATTTATATTTGTATACCTACATGATGCAGGGTTTAGTTACAGCAAATGCTTGAAATGTTTTCAAACATGAAGCTTTTTTATTATTTTATTATTCGTTTCAAATTAAGTATACTGCCTATGATCTGGTTTTACTATGATCATTTTGCACATCAGGTTACCCCCACAAAGTAATCTCACGGTAAATATACATTTGTATTTTTAATAAGACAATAAATAACATGTAATATTAATACACATTTTGATATTTAAGTTATATTATAAGGTTATAATCAACCTTCAGCCGGAAGATTACCAAATAGAGACAAAGTGTGACGTAGATTGCGACGTTGTGATTGGACTATAACTTCAAAGCCAAATTAAAAGATCCTTCGTGTTGCTAACTATGTTTTGCTAACTTTGCCACTTTACTAACAGTGTCCTTTATCAATGAGTTATCGCTGTGTTTTAAATAGTTAACGATTAACCAAGATCGTAACCCTAAACTTAACCCTAACTACACCTTTCAAGGAACTACAATTTGTAGCGCCATGTCTTTCCCCTCCCATCTATACAGCGACAAAGGATTGTGGGTAATGTAGTTTAAAGTCTTTTTGTAATAAAATGGAACAGATACAAATTTTAATGAACTAAAGACTATCTGAATAAGGTCATTGTGCATATATTTATGACATATATGAAAGCCAGGCATAAATTTGTTATTTTACAATGAGTATTTTTTAAACAGCTTTTATTAACTTGATCAGTATATATCAGACTATTATATCCAACATTATTTATTGAACATAGCATAGGTAATAGTCTTGCTGATATTCTCTCTCATTTCTCGTTTGAAATGTGAATACTTTTTCCTTTTCTATGGGGCTCTACTCATCCCCTTTGAGTAAAAGGGCAGTTAACCTATGTAGATGTATTATCTTCAACATGGACAAGAAATTGTATTGTCACATGTACAGTTGTGGTAAAAAAAAAAAAAGCTGTAAAAATATGCTAAACATTAGTATCTTCTTTAATTACAAGTTATTAGCAATAGTGATCTATGTTCATCACAAATGTTATGAGTTCAGAATAATATGTGTGGATGTAATTCTGTAAGTGTGTTTCATTAATGGTCATCATGTGATATTTAATTGTTTTCACTTTATTTGAAATATGGATAAAAGCTCTTTTAAAATATGTAAATGTTTATAAATAAAACCTTTTTAAAGACATGTATTTGTTTAAAAACCACTCTTTATCTGATTATTTTTACTTTCTAAATCTTCAACTGTTTGTGTAACAGTATGATTTGATGACAATGGATGAACTTGTGTTTAATAATGATTCCACATAATGTCTTTGTCCTGCATGTGGGTTAATTTGTTAATTATTTTCTTTATGATCAAATGATTGTAAGATTTGCTGCATTGTAAGAATCATGAAAATATTGAGAAATGAGGTAACAATGATGAAAAGATATCCTTTCAAATGCTGCGAATAGTTCAAACCTCCAAATGATTAAAAATACATAGCCATTAACCAACAAAATAAAAATGCAAACATTTAAATTATCTAAACTAGAAGTAAAATAGTTCTGTGCTGTATTTATAAGTTACTGTGTAGTTCTATGTCTACCAAAAATACATATTTCAATACATATCTTATTTTCATTCATTCATTTTCTTTTTGGCTTAGTACCTTTATTAACCAGGGGTCGCCACAGTGCTATGAACCGCCAACTTTTCCAGCATGTTTTTATGCAGCAGATGCTCTTCCAGCCGCAATCCATCTCTTGGAAAATATTTTATTTTTTATCTTGCATTCAATAAAACATTATACAAAGTTAATTTTTATTTTCAGAATAACAACAGTCGCACTGTTATCTCACAACAAGTGCAGCAGTTTTTTGTTAGACATTCTAACAAATTAATACAAATGTTTCAAAGTAAGGACAAAAATAAAAGGAGATTAATTTTTTTTTTTTTTTTAGAAAAATCCATGAGGACCAAATGGATCCATCAGATCTTTGATGTAAATCATAGGTTAATTTTTCCAGAGGTAGAAGTGTGGTTGCCTGACTCAGCCACATATTGACTGGAGGTATCTGAGCAGTTGACCATAATAATGTACATTTTTTGCCCAAGTATATGCAAAAATTAAATTTATCATAAAAATGTATCATAAAATTAATATTTTAAAAGCTCTTAATGTCACTTAATGTAATAATTTCATTTTAATATAGAGTTCCTTAAATCGTTATATGTTGTAAGCAGTTGGGCATACAATAATGCTCTTAATTTACAACACTGACTGATTTTAGAGGAATGCTTATATACTGTACATATCTATGTATTTAAAAAAAAAAGACAATTTGGTTATAGATGATGACAATTTTATTTAATTTTTTACAGATTTTATTACATGCTTTAGATTCAGGGTTAAGGTCATCCTCTTCTGGATTACAGTAAAAGAAAATCCACAGTCAATGTCACTCATCAGCTGGAGCTTTATTTAAAAAAAATCTATGTTCTCTGCTCCAGCCAAAACTTGCAGGTACCTTGCAGGTCTCTAGATTGCACCATCGTATTGTTGTTTATTTCTCAGTTATTTTGTTGCTTTCTGAGAATGATGATCCATAGACCTTTTAACCCCTCTTCGTTAAGGCCACATGTCGAATCTTAAAAGAAGAACACAACAACATAAAAATATATTAATATCCTTTGGACTGGGTAACCTTATGCTTATGTCTGTGCCAAAAAATACAAATACATACCAGTACATTTCAGTAGCAAACAAGCAGGAAAGTTCTTTGAAAGAACCAGGATGAGTTGAAAGGTATTTATAGTGGTTGACCATCTCTGCCACAAGAATCCACTGCTTCTCCTGAAGAATCCTGACTAGCAGGATGATGTTGAACACCCTCCTCTTTGTTGCTGGGTCAGCAGAGTCTGAAATATATTTATGAAAAGAAAGTTGTATAACAAGGATTATACGTCAACTTTTAAAGAATCAACACTGACAGAAGTCTAGTGTACATACCATGCAATATGACGAAGACATCCACATCACTTCTTCTTTTTGTTGTCTTTGCTTCTGCTACTGAAAAAAAATGACAGTAATAGTAACACAATTTTTCATGACTACATGTAATATTAATAAGAATTTCCTCACCCTCTGCCCACTCCTCTACATCACAGACCAAAGTCTTCCAACTGGTTTCCAGTCACTGCCAGTTTCATGGATTCTGTTTTGCAACTTGCTTTGCAGAGCTGTTGCGGTCTACAATGATAAGCAATCAAAAAATCACAATACTATTTAAATAGGTTACTGAACAACTAAAACAAATTCAACTGGATATTGTTACCTTCTGATATCAACAGGTCAGCGAGATGGCCAAATTGTTGAATATCTGCTAATTCCAGCACATGACCATGAGAGTTACAGTAGCATGTCTGGTCACTGCAAGCCTATAGAAGAAATATTGCACTGTTCAACCTCCTTCCCAAAAGTAAAACCAGGCATATCCTGGTATGCCTCACTCCATTTCACCTGGTTAACATATACAAACAAACAAACAAACAAACAAACAAATAAATAAATAAATAAGTAAACCAATAAGTTTTGGCATTTACTTGTAGATCAGTTTAAGACAATCACATAGTTCATCTATCTCAGATATAAACTCATGTGATTAGGCATGAAACACACTAAAATCATGGGCTTAAAGATGGTGCTGAAACTTTGGACAGCTTTTTGCAACTCTTTGGAGGTAGTGTCATTAGTTGATGTAGTCCACAAATCTTCCTGTCAATCCTTAATCCTTAGCTGTAAATAAACCTTCAAAAATGCCAGTGTTTGAAAAAGGAATGAAACAGTACAGAACAAGTGCATAACAGTTTATATCTTCTAATCTAATTTTCTTAGGTGAACGTCACAGAGCTGTTTTCTTGTTAATTTAGTTTCAACACATACAGTTTAAAGTACCTCGTGCATTCTTGAAATGATTATGCTTATGGTTCATATCTACTTAAATTGGCAGTATATCTAGTGTGGAAGCAGAACAGATGAAGGGCTCTTCCTTGCAAATACTATCCACCTTGTATTGCACAGACTCCCACTCAAGAATATCTCAGAAAAATGTCTGCTGAGATCTTAGCAGTCCATTAAAAATAATTATACCAACATCTTTTCCACCAATGGAAAGAATATAAAAATACTTTAGAATATATTTATACTTGCATGACCAAATCTGAGATAAAAAGGCCATCAGTATGCCTTAGTTTAAATAAAAACAAAATTTGACTCTAGCCCACTGTTACCTGGGTCTACAGATTCAGGGACTAATGGAAACAATGAAGTACACACTGACAGTCACTGGAGCAAGGCTCCCTCACAGTTGGGAAGATTGGAGTTCCTATGAGCTGTACCAGATAAAAACAACAAAAAATGTACATTTATAACATTTCTAACTTATCCTAAGACTAGTAGACAAGCAGCATAAGCAGTTCTAATTTCCTAAACCCCAATGTGGGCAGTTGATGGCCTATAAGGTGTCATAAAATCAGACAAAACAAAATACTTTCTGAAAAAGAAAAAAAAATGGTTGGCCACTATCAACACCCAGAACAATTAGTTTTAAACAGTTAGGCCACAATATTTTGTGAGCTTATGCTGTAGTTTTTTAATGTTTGTCATAAACAATAGTAATAGTAAAACTAATGCGTTTCTTTCTGTTATTACAATAGTAGTGAAAGAATAAATGCATTTTATCTCATACAATCACATATGCCTAAACAATGTAGATATTTAATATACATGGAATGAAAAACTTCACTAACCCTTGACTGATTCCAGAGTGGTCTTGGCCTTCCTTACATGGTGGTGCTTTCTGCAGATCACCAAGTTGTCATCAAAACTTGAGCTTATAATTGAGATCTTGATGATAAATCTGAGTATTGAGGAATGGTGATAGGCAGAAACAGGCTGAAAGACACAAGAATTAATCAAACAAATATAAATGTGTTAACAGAGATAGAGAGAGAGACAAGTGCAATTTAACATATAAACATGGGTAAAGTGATTTTACTTTTTGCTTATTAGAAAACAAAATTGGATTTTTAAAGAAATCTAAAGAACCTGAAAAGAGCAAAGAAAAAATATTCATATCTGAACAGTGAACACCTTATAATGTACACCTGTATATATATATATATGTGTGTGTGTGTGTGTGTGTGTGTGTGTGGTAGATTAAGCTATTTTTTTGTTTAGTTTTGTGTTGTACAATGAATAAAATGTGCTCAGACGGGCAAAATTTCTGCCTTTTTCCTTTAAAGGCATGGAAAATAATTGTTTTTACAATAAACCTTTGGAAACACTTGATGTTCTTTAATATTGAAACAATTACGAATACATTTGTATTATTAGAGTTGCATATTGCATATTATATATAGATTTTGCACGAATTCTATTGTGGAAAACAACAATCTGGTTACACTGTTCCTTATCTTAAAATGTATATATTGTTCTAATGCATGACCAACGTTATATGTGAGAAAAATATGTTTTTAATAAATGAACTTGATGTAATTAGATAACGTCGCTAGTTTACAGAACATGCTTTATCAACAAATCGTGTTTATTTGTTTACTTTTTACTTACCTTGTGGAAAACCGCAGTGAACCTTGGGATCGCAATGAACCTTGGGATAGCGAGCATAGACTGTAAAAAATAGATCGCCACATACAATGACCCCAACTTTAATAAATAATTTAAAATGAAAAATATCAGCCGAAAACATTTTTAAACTTAGTACTTGAAATTTAATATTTTTTTAAAGTAAAAAAATAATAAATAATATGAATGAATCAAAGTTTTATTAGGCATAGTTACCCTAAACTGGACAACCGAATATATTTTCACTAATTAAATATAAAGTAAATGATAAAATATTTATAAACACCAACTAATCTCCAATAAAAATATATTATGCAGCATTAACGTAATATTTAATGTTGACAGTTGAACTCATCTGAGAACTCACCGCTGATGCAGTTTGACCAATAGCAGAGCGGCGTTAAACTCACCGTGAAGGGATGTCACGTGGGCCGAAGTTTATTCATACAGTAGTTTCGACCCCGTTTACAGACGCTTTTCATAAACAAAATAAAAATTACATATTTTTAAAATAAGAAAAATGTGATAATAGGCGTAAATCAGGTTTTAAAAAGTTTGTTGACATCTATTGGTAATTATACGAGCCTCCAGCGTCTCCCTATGACGCCTCAGGCTCAGGCACAGATTCTATAGGGAATCCCTGCACGTCTAAATATGACGCTAAAGGGGTACCCTGTGCGTCAATAACTGACGCCGAGGGTTACTGACCAAGCGTCAGTATGTGACGAGTTGGGAGTGAGAACGTGTTGAACAAAAAGGCAGGGGCTAAGAGAAACTCACACACACCCCTAATCTCCACACACACACACACATATGCACACACATACACACACTCCAGATCTCAATCTCATCTCTCTTGCATTAAACATGCACTGTTGGGAATTGTTTTTAGCCCTACTGTTCAGCGGCTTCTCAGCGTGGGCTCTGCCTTCAACTAACATCAAGATCACACAAGGTGAGTGCCACCAGAGACAAAGACTAGGACACAACGCAGACACAGATAATACGCTTTAATTTGCTTCATAGGGAATACGCAGGCCAAAGCTGAACCAGAGCTGCTTTGCCCAAGATGCTTATGTTTATGATGTGTAGCTTAACTTCTGTTGTGCAGCCTGTTTGTCTGATGTGACATTCATTTTATGCTTGAAATGTTTTTCATAATTGATGTACAAGGGCTCAGACTAACAGTGAAAGTATCTTTAAAGGTTAAGTATGACTCAGCAGGCAAGAAAAGTTTTCTTGTAAATGACATTATGTTGGAAAATCACCGTAAGACAAAATAATCTAATTGCTTTTCTTATCTACAATGTCTCAACACTGCAATTCATTTAACAATGATGCGTTTAAGAAGTCTTTTCTCCACTGGCATTTTTAATGTAACCTTTAAATAGTGTAATTATACATTATTAGTGAAAAGTGTATCTTATAATTGTTTTTAATACAAAACAGACTTTTTAGCTGTTGCTAAGCTTGAAAGTTTATAGAATGCTGGCTGTTTCTGTGAAAAGGAAACACTGACTGATTTCTATTTGGTAATCGGATACTTTGCAGGTGATGTTTCAAATAACGTAATGCATCAGTGGTGTTGTTTTTGCATTTGCATTTGAACAGCTGGGTTAAAAGAAATAGTTTATACCAAATATATTCTATTAAGGAATAGAAAACCACAATCTACGTTTATTTATTTCTCTCAGGACATCCAAGATGTATATGATGCTGTTTCCTTATAGTTGAAGAGTCTTTTGCATTTGAACAGCTACATTTATTTTAAGTTAAATAAATGTCTTTACTGCAACTTTAGATCAATTTATTGTGTTTCTGATGAATAAAAGTATATTAAACTCCTAATTACCTTGGTCCAACCAACATTGTAATGAACATTCATGAGATGGTACTTCATATAATATAACATTTATGGATGCAAATGTATCTAAACATCACTAAACTAACCACCATTAGTGAGCCAAGTTGGCCTGATTTAGATCCTAATACGTTTTCCTGAAGAAAAAAAAAAAAGCCTTGTGGTGTACAAAATAATCAATTTCATTCAATTAAGGCAACCTATTCCTGTAGGCTAATATCATTCCCGTTTCCTCTAGCATTGCCTATGCAGCTCTCAGACTCAAACCAGCCTGTGACATGTCCACTGTTCTGGACTGAATTTGAGGGTTACTGTTACCGCTTCTTTCCCCTGAACCGCACATGGGCTGAGGCAGATCTGTACTGCGCTGAGTTCTCAAACGGACACAAATCTGCCAAACTCACCTCTGTCCACAGGTAGGATTGCCCTTTATTATTTATTACCCCGCATTACAGGCTGCCCATCATTTGTTCTTATATTTTCATAATATTTTTGAAATAATATTTTATGTATAAAGTTATTAAATTATTGTAGCCATCCTGTGAAATTGTAATTCGTTTTAAAATATTTTCCAAATAATGTTTAACAGAACAAGGACATTTTGTTTAAATTTAAATCTTTAAATAGTATTTACTTTATTTTATTTAGAAATACATTTTTCTTCTAGAGAAAGTTTTATCTCTTTGAATTTGTCTGGAATAACAATATATACAGTTAAAGTCAGAATTATCAGCCCCCTTTGATTTTTTCTTTCTTTCTTAAAATATTTCTCAAATCATATTTAACAGAGCAAGGAAATTTTCACAGTATTTCTGATAATATTTTTTTCTCCAGAGAAAGTCTTGTTTGTTTCATTTCATCTAGAATAAAAGCAGTTTTATTTTTTTTACAAACCATTTTAGGGTCAAAATTATTAGCCCCTTTATTTTTTGATAGTCTATAGAAACCATTGTTATACAATAACTTGCCTAATGACCCTATCCTGCCTAATTAACTTAATTACCCTAGTTAAGCCTTTAAATGTCACTTTAAGCTGTACAGAAGTGTCTTGAAAAATATGTAGTCAAATATTATGTACTGTCATCATGGCAAAGATAAAAATAAATCAGTTATTAGAGATGAGATATTAAAACTATTATGTTTAGAAATGTGTTGAAAAAACTCGCCGTAATTGGGGGAAAAATAAACAGGGGGGCTAATAATTCAGACTTCAATTGTGTATATATATATATATATATATATATATATATATATATATATATATATATATATATATATATATATATATATATATATATATATACACACACACATACAGGGCTTTACATTAACATCCACCAACCCGCTAAATGCGGGTAAATAATAGCTCTGGCGGGTTAGACAGACATCTCCATTCCACAAGCCACTTTCATAGCAAAGAAATTATTATAAATTAGTTGTTAAAGCTATTGAACGATGTAGGTGTGAAGTCCAAAGAGTATGGCGCAAAAGCATTAAGGACATGTCTGAATCCACTTTCACCATTTTAAGGATAGAAAAATAAGCTTTGCACCAAGGTGCATGGTCTAACAGGGTTGTGCTTATTCTCTTAATGAGTTATGGGTTTGTTTTGAGTATAAAGTGCATTGAAAAACTTCCCTTGGGATGAAGAAGGCATGGAGGTAGTGGTTTTTATATTTATGTAGAAAACAATAATTTTTGTAACATTTTGATCCTTTATTTTTTTTTATATGTAAAGATATGTGTGTATTACTGTACATCCTGTCTGTAGTAAACAATGTGTCGATTTTGGGTGCATAGTGCACAACTAAAGTGTTTTGTGCTGGACTTTAGGCCAGCTTTTAGTTGGTCAACATTGCAACTCTCCTAAACTCTCCTAAATGAGCCAAAAATAGCAAGTCTCCAACAATGCGCCTTAACACACCTCCTTTTTAGACCGGCACACCCATGAGTTCACAACGTGGCACAAAAGCTAAAAATTATGGTTACACTGAGGTCAAAATGGCCTTTTTGTGCCAGCTGTATATGATAGGGCCCACTATGTTTAAAAATGCTGAAAAAACATCTCTCAGTTAAATGCCAATTGAAGAATACTTGAATAAGAATACATTTTCACAGGACGGGCAATACTTTTGTCAAATATAAATGCCTTGTGTGTTTATACAATCTTTTGACTAAATAAATAAATTTCTAACATTGTCCAGATTTATTGTGTGAGAGAACTGTCTAAATGAATCAACTGCAAACCATTCATCACATTTTGACAAACACCGTATGGCCCATTACATAGATCAGAACAGTGATTCATTCACTGCTCGCTCAGATAGAAAACACATGACTTGACTGATAAATTATTTTTAATATAAATGGTAATCTGACTCGTACAGATTTTACAGCAAAATTTCACTGGTGGTCTTAATGATGACCCAATACGCAACATCTAACTCCACAGTAATGCTGAGATGACACGATTTGTCTCACAGTAGTAAAGGATTTTGCCAAACGTCCCATCAAAACATTAATTTTCCAATAACTTTCTTCATAGCTGGGAAGAAAATGTGTTTGTCTACGATCTTGTGAACAGCCGTATGCCAGGAATTCCAACAGATATTTGGATTGGCCTGCATGACAGAAGACAGGTAAACACGATAACATTTTGTATTAAGTACAAACACAACACATACCCACACAATGTGTTTTATGAATGATTCATTAGTGTTTTATTTACTAGGAAGCAGTCATAACGAGAAACATAAGCAGCTGCATGTCTGACACAGCTTGTGTGTGTTATAAAAAGCCAAGCCCAGCCTGTCAAACCTCCCAACAATAATTTCACCAATGGAAAATATAGTTGGTCAGAGTGACGTTTAATCATTTCCAGACACATTTGGGTCTAACAAGTTGAGGTAGATAGTTTATGGATGATGTTATAACAGACACTCTGATCTGTAATGTTTCTCTTAGAATTTGGATTAAAGGGATAGTTCACGTCAACATGAAAATCCTGTCATCATTTACTCACCCTTCACATTTTCCAAAGTAGTTTGAGTTTCTGAATTTTCTGTTGAACACAAAAGATTAGGCAATTTCATTTCTATAGCACTTACACAATGCTAGGAAAGCAGGAAACCTGTAACCATTAAAGAAACACCACATTTTTTTGTAAATAGGTTGTTTACAATAGCCTAGAGATTTGAAGAGTTTAGATGCAAGTACCATCTGAAATTTTTTTCTACAATGAACATTTTTCTTAGCCTTTGTGTTTAATTTCATGTTAAAAGCGATGAAAAAATAAGTTATTTGCTGTATAAGTTGAATTACTAAACCAAGACAGAAGCCTGAGAAAAATGCTAATTTTAGAAGAAAGTTTGAACTCTGAACTCTACATTCATCATTTTTAATACATTCAAGTCAATCTCCGGGCTTATCAAGAACATTTTTAGCTTAGCTTAGCATAAATTATTGAATCCAATTGGACCATTAGCATCTTGCTCAAATTCAAAAAAGAGCTTTGATCATTTTCCTATTTAAAACTTGATTCTGCTGTTACATCATGTACTAAGACTGCTGGAAAATGAAAAATTGCTATTTTCTATGCTGATATTGCTAAGAATACTCTCATTCTGGCATAATAATCAAGGAACTTTGCTGATAGCTGCAGCAGACGCAATGACTTACCTGTCGCTGTTACAGTTACCTCACTGGGTACTGTTTCAGGCACAGCTTCGTATAGTAGAGGGTGTAATTTAAAGTTGAAATGAATGTTCTATACCTTTAAATAAGACTGAGAAGTAATATTGTAATTGAGATTGCATGAGAGAATGTTCGGAAAGAGAAAAGAGGAGAGAGACTGAGAAGGAAATCGCATGATGTAATCTGATGTGGTTGATTTATGATGTTCACCCCCGTATGTTTAATAAATCATGGGTTAATGCCTGCCGATCGAGCTCCGTGTGTCTGTCTTGCAACTAAGCCAAAGAACCCATGAGTCTGCGTGTGGTTAGGAAGGAAAAGTAACAGTACGTTACAATATTATTGCATCTGAAAGTAAAGTTAATTGATTATTTTGCTTGAAGAAAAGCAGTGGTTCTCAAACTTTTTTCATCAAGTACCACCTCAGAAAAAAATTGTCTCTCCAAGTACCACCAAAATGAGCAGTGGTGAAATACAGTAGCATAGTAGTCCCAGTAAAGCAGTTAAAACTCTGCACAGTTTAAAAAACGTGGTAGATTACCTTAGAAATATAGGCTATATGTCATATATGGCATATTATATACATAATTTTTGGTAAATTTTGAAATATATGTAGCATGTACATGACATATTTCATTCCTCCACGTACCGCTAGAAGGAAGCCCGTTTACCATTTGTGGTACACGTATCACAGTTTGAGAACCACTGAATTAGAGTATTCCAGTATAAAAAAATATACAAAATATTTTGAATAAGCAAGATGCTAAGGGTTTAATACGATTAAATGATTCATGCAAAGCTAAGCTAGAAGTGTTTCCGCAAGATCGAGAGATCGATTGAATGGATTCAAAAATGTTAAATCTCAAATGTTCAACTCTAGGAGACTTGGAAAATAAAGCTATTTTCAAAGAAGTGGAGTGTTATTTTAACTTAAATACTAGGAAAAACAAATAAGTCAATAACATTCTTAAAAATATCTTTCTTTTGGGTTCAACAAAACAAAACAAAACAAAAAACTGGTTCGGAACAAGTAAAGGATGAGTATAAGGAATGCCCGAATTTTCATTTTAGAGTCAGCTATCTCTTTAAGCTCCAAAGTCATGCTGGGCCAGATGACTTTAATTATCACTTGAGGGTTAAAGGGTAAGGAGCAAGCACACGTAATAGGGCTGTTAATTATCGTTTGTTGGCAGGAGGGCACTATGGAGTGGACAGATGGGTCACCCTTTGAGTACAGTTACTGGGATGGAAATCAGCCAGATGATGGGATTCATCGCATCCCTGAGGAGGAGGACTGTGTGGAGATTTGGTACAGACAAAACAGTGGTGAGTTAGCAGCAGACTGATTCAATAACTGTTATGTTTATATAACACTGATTAAATTGATTCATTCGGTACATAATATTTGAGACTCTATCCAGATTAATCATTTTACTGTAAAAATAAAGCCTGGTTGCCTTACATTTTTAAGCTGAATCAAATTCAATTAGAATGAGTCAATTGACTTTATAGTATGTTAAACTGACTTAAAACAGCTTCTGTAACTTATAAAATCAAGTTAAAACATGATTAATTTAGATTAATAACTTACAATGACCTAAAAAATATGCTGTCAGGACTAATTGACCATGTACTTTTTTACAGTGTTGTTTTGAGCAAAAAAAAAATAAAAAAGATTATCATACATTTTTTTCCATGAGATACAGAAGATACCAACTTTAATGTCATTGATTGTAACAAAAGTTAATTTGTTACCCTGGACCACAAAACCAATAAAACTGTAAGTGTCAATATTTTGGAAAACATGCCCACACACTGAAAAAAAACCCGGTTGACTTAATTTTTGTTGTTGAATCAAATAAATGTTTGCAACAGTTGAAGTCAGAATTTATATCTTTTTTTTTCTTCTTTTAAATATTTCCCAAATGATGTTTAACAGAGCAAGGGAAATTTCACAGTATTTCTAATAATATTTTTTCTTCTGGAGAAAGTCTTCTTTGTCTTATTTTGGCTAGAATAAAAGTTTTTAAAAACCATTTAAGGTCAAAAGTATTAGCCTCTTTAAACTATATTATTTTCCGATAGTTTACAGTACAAACCACTGTTATACAATAACTTGCCTAATTACCCTAACCTGCCTAATCAAGCGAATTAACCTAGTTAAGGAAATGTTTTAAATTGGTTTAGTTCTTATCTTTCAGGGAGGACCTTTTCTATTGAATTGGGTAACTTTTTTTCCTCATCTGCACGTTTGGAGTGTGGTGTCCCCCAAGGTTCAATTTTGGGCCCAGCTCTTTTCTCTATCGACTTGCTTCCCTTGGCGGCAATTTGTAAGAAGCATAATGTAAGCTACCACCTCTATGCTGATGATACTCAGCTTTACTTGGCCATTAAAATGGGAGAAAATTCTGTTTTACAGTAATTTTTCACCTGTTTTAACGAGATTAAGGAATGGCTGGCTGGTAATTTCTTACACTTGAATGAATCAAAAACTGAAGTAGTAGTGTTTGGTCCTCCGAGTGTCTGTAAATCTACAATTAATAAATTAGGTTCGATCAAGCCTAAGGTCCACAGTCACGTAAAAAATCTTGGAGTTACTTTTGACACTGAGTTAAAGTTCGACAAGCAAATAAACTCAGTCGTCAAAAGTGGTTTCTATCAATTAAGGAACATTGCCAAATTGAAGCCTTTTCTTTCTTTTAAAGAGCTGGAAACTATCATTAATGTTTTTATTATGTCAAGACTGGACTACTGTAACTCTTTGTATTCTGGAGTTTCACATGCATCAATAGCTTGCCTGCAGCTGGTTCAAAATGCAGCTACTAGGCTTTTAACTGGGACAAAAATTTTTTCAGGTATCTCACCAGTTTTATTATCTCTTCACTGGCTCCCAGTCCAATTTAGAATTCAATATAAGTTATTGCTACTAGTTTTTAAAAGTTTGAATGGTCTGGCACCAATTTACATCTCTGAGCTTCTTCACTGGCACACTTCATTGAGGCCAATCAGGTCTGAAAACACGTTTCAGCTAGTTGTCCCCAAATCACGGTTGAAATCAAGAGGTGACAGGGCTTTTTCTGCTGCAGCCCCCCGACTGTGGAATGGTCTGCCTTTACAGATCCGGTTATGTTCTTCACTTGGTGCTTTTAAGTCTCATCTAAAAAATCACCTTCTGTCTCTTGCCTTTGATTGTAATTAATTAATTTTAATCTGTTTTATATATTTTGCACAATTTTTATATATAGGTATAGATTTTGTATGCTGGTTGTTTTTTGGTCAACTTTGGTCAACATCTGTTGTTTTTAAATGTGCTCTATAAATAAAGCAAACAAACAAACAAACAAACAAACAAACAAACAAACAAACAAACAAACAAGGTTTTAAACGTAAATAGGGGGCTAATAATTCATGAGGGCTAATAATTCTGACTTCAACTGTACACGAATCAAACTGACTAAATGTATTAAGTTAAACTTTGTATAAGTTAAAAATTTAGTTGAAACCTGATTAACTTAAATAAAGGAACTTAAAAATGTCTTGACTTTTTGTCATAATTTTTTTTACTGTGCATGACATCTGAATAAATAAGCTTTCTGTTGATATAATGTTTGCTATGATTACAGTTACTGTATGTGAAAATCTGGAATATGAGGGTGCAAAAAAAAATCTAAATAATGACAAAAGTCTTTAAAATTGTCCAAATTAAATTCCTAGCACTAATAAAAAATTACTAAACTAAATGTATATATCAGATATAATATTTACTTAATATTTTAATGTTTTTGACATAAAAGAAAAATTATTTGGACCCCTACCATGTATTTTAGGCTTTTGCCAAAAATATACCCATGTAAAATAAGACGTTGTGTGGTTCACGATCACATTTACCAATAAATCTAGACAAGAATATTTAAATGAAGATTCATTTCACGACATTAAAAACCCACGTTTCCTGAAAACAGGAACAAAAACGGGTGTAGAATCCAAGTGCAGAAATTCTAATTGTCATTTTAAGTCTTTATACATTGTCAGCAATGACAATGAATATGACATATGATATATAAGTATGATTAGTTATTCTTGTTTATATTTGACTAAGTACATGTCGGCATAAATATTGAATGTTGTGTCAATTTTACATTATAAGGCATGAAGCCTACGCTGCTACTCTGAAACATTAATCGGAAACAGAAAGCAGTTGAAGGATGGCATTTAAATCAATAATTGTAATTAATCTGACTCCATTAAAGTTGTTATCAACATTAATAAAGAGAAAGAATCTCAATTCCTTAAAGCAGGCAAAGTTATTTAAGTTACCATACTCTCCTCAATAGTAAATAGATTGTATATACAAATATCACAATCAGATGTATCGTGAATGGTGAAAGGCACAGGGTTACTGTAAGACAAATGGCAGACATGTGAATAGAGCTGTGAGGAACTCCTGTGCTTGAAATGTCTCGGTAGTCCTTCTTAGAAGTAATAGCATATAATATTTTCTCAGTTTACAACATAAATTTCTAAGTAAATTAAATCACATTTGTATTAAATGGTGCAAACACCAAATGGTATGTCCCCCCCCCCCCCCCGTTATATTTTATTATATTATATGTGTCATTTCAATACATTTGATGAATTCAACTTACTGACAGTGCCAAAAATGATACAGAATATCAAGAAATGGCGTAACAATTTTATATCTTTCCATCTTTTGCAGCTCTGAGGTCTTGGAATGACAACAACTGCGATAAGGCTTTTCCATTCGTCTGTAAGATTCCAACCCTGGAAAACTAACCACAGATTGTTTATCAAGTTCATCATCAACAACACTGACACTAGGAACAAAGTGTCCGCAGATCTAAATCCCTCCATCATAGATGGGCTCTTTCCAGCTCTACTATAGGCTCTTCACATGCACTTCTGTCCCGTCTCCTGCCCCCATCACTGCTGTCATAATGCTGTTTTCTGGCTCCTCTGAGGCAGTGAGTCATGACACACACATTCCTGCATTTAACGCTATTAGAAATGAACTTTTTGTTTCCCTCTCCAGAGGTAGTTGATTATGTGGGCTATTCTAGAATTGCGGGTACATTGAATCTTTAGCATGTTCTATTAGTTCTTAAAAACAAAAACTTTATTGAAAACGTTTTGAATAGCATCACATATTCTATCGATTATCTCTAAAAAATAATGTTTGAAATTTGTGTTTACCATTTTGAAAATATTAACGTAAAGATTTACGTTAGATATACCTATATTTGACCGTCTCTGTCCCTGAATCTTCAATTATCATGAAACTATTGTCTAGTTGTCATCTTTTTTGTGTTTACTCTACTAAGTTGAACAAACATTTGCATGAAACATCTATTTTCTGTATTATTTGTAATTTTGGTTATAAAAAAAAAAAGATTTGTGTCTGTTCCTTTTCATTCTTGTCAACTCTGTTACATCAGTTATATAAAAAGGCATACAAATTTTTAAAGCAATAACCTCCTAGGGCTTAGTGGCCACATACATGGACAGCACATTTTAGATCTTAAGTGGATATTTAAAATACTTTGAATGCTTTATATTTTGTTCCAGACATACAGTGTCATCCTACAACTGCTTTGCAGCATAGGAAATGTTCCAAACACTATTTTTAACTGTCCAAAATGGGCAAAAAAATGTCATTTTTTACTTTCTGATAGTCAGAACATGTTAAAAAAATATGAATGTTTTAATGATGCATTAAAACACAGTCAGGATTTATGGAAATTCGGACCACAAGTCCACATATATGGACATCATTTTTTCAAATTTTTCTAGTACAACATATCAAAAGATGATACCTAGGTTTTTTTCTAATAAGGCTCCAATAAGCCCAAATAGCAAAGAGAAATTAAAAATGCATGTAAAAAAACAGCTTGGGCCTTAAGAGGTTAATAGAAAAAGCATGTGATTTGCTCCAAGTGGTCACAAAACTTCAGAAGGCATTTAATTCCTCTCATTCATTATTGTTTGGGATACACCAATAATAGATTTTCAACTCTGTTATTGTGAAATTTCAGTTAATTTAATTTCATCTACTTTTTAAAAACAATAATATGATGAAACTTGATAAAATTCAGTCTTAGAAATGTCATGGTATCTATTTTGAGGTTATCATCTTGAGCTAACGCACAAATGGGTGGAAAATATCAAGTCTGTTAGCGGTTCAAATAATAATTTAAACAATAATTAGTAACAAAATCAAAGTTTCTCAATAGGATTTAAACATTATTTGATATTAATAATAGATTTAGTTTTATGTAAATTGTTCATTTGTTGTATGTCATTCTGGTTTAAGGAAAATGAATGGAAAGTGCTTGAATTGTACCCGCAATTCTGGAATGAGTCCAGTGTTTAGATTAGGTATTGATGTTGGGGATATTCTTAAAAATTACTGTTATAAACTGTCATGCTGTACATGTATGACATAGATAGCAAGTAGAAATTCTAGTGTCCTACAACAGTAAATGGAAACTCACCCATCATCATGTGGCTGATAATATTAAGTGGACATTATTTGCTTTTTTCAATGTACAGGTTAAAAATATCTATAAATGAGCAATTTTCCATATTTTGTGAGTCGTGTTTTTATTTTTCCTGTTTATTTATGCTGTTGAACTGCATTATGGGACTTTGATCTTTCTTCCAACAACTTTTAACCTTGAAAAGTTTGAAAAAGCAACATTTATTCACATTTGTAATAGTTTTAGGTGATAATATCTGGTTTGGTGTTGTATATCAAGGTATACAAACCTTGCAATAATCTGCCAGTACGTTCTCTGTTATTTTACAGACAGATTTTTCTATATATTATTTCTCATACTAAAATGTGAATTAAAGTCACTTTATTAAACTGTAGAGTTGAATTTTCAACATCAATAGTCGACAGAGCAGAGGTCAAGATCCCATTATGCAATTTACAATCGTAAATAAATGGAAGACACATGTAAATCACAAAATACAGAAACTGTTATGAACAGATATTTTTTAGAGTGAATTTTTCAGAAACCCCAAATGTCTGTTTTTAATGAGAAGGTGGTCACATTTTTAACGTTTCACAGACAGGAATGTTAGCTGATGTTACGACTCCTGAGTCTGGGTCTGTCAATGTCCATTTATCTATTGCTGACCTAGAAGGTGAGATTGTGAAGGGTTTAAATCTCTGTTTACTGCAAAAGTTCAAAAGTCAGACCAAGCTTAACCTCTGCCGACCTTTTCCACTCTTCTCTGTAGTTATAGGCCTTGCCAATTAGTGACTTTAAAAAAATCTCTGTTCTGATCCACACAGCTGCTAGGAGAGCACATTTTTATATCTGCATCACTCTCAGAAAAATTGTAAATGTAAAAATTCAGTTTTTTTATTTTCAGAAAGTTCAAAGTGAAATGATTACTGAATATCATTAAATAATTTTTTTTTAAAAATCCAAAACAAATAACAGATTGTGGCAGAGTTTTGTTTATTATTGCTATTTTACCTTGTTTTAATGTGGGCTTTTCACTATTTTTGTCATAATGTGTGTTTGCAGGACTCATACCCATACCAAATAAGTTTACCATAATAAAAAATGCATGCATATGGAGATAGATGTGTGATGCAAATGTTACAGTATGTTAGTTTATAATAGTTTATAACACAATACATCCACTATCATCAAATAAATGTTTATTTTTTAATGTTATCAGTATCAAATGATGCAGAAGATATCTGTGCATTAGGGGAGTTTATTCTAGAGGGAAAGGCAAGATGTTGACACTTGTAGGAGTTTTTCATTATGAAAAAATAGAGGACATTAGAAATGTATTTGTATGTGCTTTTTTTTTGCAATTAATATTTTTAATATTTTAAAATAAAGTGTTTGTTTGTTTGTTTGCCCTTTGCTTTTGTAAAATTCATAATTTCAAAATTAAATTAAAGTGACACATTTCTATAGCTGTGCATCCTTTGTTTATAAATTACAATACTTGCTCATAAATCATGCTCCACTTACTAAACCAACTAAAATCTGCAGCAAATTACACACTTTTGTTTCTGAATTAATAATGATTGTTGAGTTGACCTTGTGTTCAGTATATTATTTTAGTGTTGTTTAGATATTCTAATGAGTCATGAGACCATAATGTTCAACAGAAACTCCAGATGCATCTGATCTCTGTTACCCTGATGAAGGCAAGCGTTTGCCGCAAGTGGTGCTCGCTGCAGAGCCATTTGAGGAGAGCTGAGCTCCAGCGAGGGGGAGCTTAAGCTTGAGCTCCACCTTTTTTACACTTCTTCTACGAGTGATGTCACTGGGGGTAGGGTTAGGGGTGGGGTTGGTGTACGCATTAAAACAGCTTACAGGAGGAGGAGCGACAGCTCATGCTCCCCCTCGCTGGAGCTCAGCTCTCCTCAAATGGCTCTGCAGCGAGCACCCTCTCGTTTGCCGAAACGCATATGAGCAGTTTTAATGCAGTTTAAATGACACCAACATTTTAACAATTTATAAAAGATTTATCACTTTCTGGCTGGCCATCGCATGGTTGTAAATATTGAGATTGTGATTTTTTGAAAGTATTACAGAGCTTTGTAAATGTTTACTATCACCATTGGTTGAGTCTCCCAGTTTGATAGAGCGCCTGGACCCAGAAGCCGATTTGCGTGACATCACAATTAAAGGGCCATGAAACCCCCTGTTTCAGCAGGGTGTATTCACACCTATAGTTTGGAAAAAGTCAGGAAAGTGGGTGTGTCTAGCTCTGTTTGAGTGGGAGTGTTGGGGGAGGGAAAAGGGGAAGGGTTTGAAATAAAAAGGAAGTTTCCATTAGGGCACTCGCTGATTTTCACCGAGGAAAAACAAACACATAGACGCAGGGGAGAAAGACAGAAACTGTGTTTAATGACGGTGGAATGTTTGATACGGCACATCGTGTAAGAGAAAAAAAAAAACTCTGCATTTCTCTGTAACTCAGATGCGCTTGGTAGGTCAGAAAGCCGTGTGTGTGTAGAATCCTGTCAAAAAATGCTGCGAAAATTAAACACGACGGTCGGCAATAGTTTGCTTGCAGTGTTCACATGTTTACACTCAGAGAGCAGCATTTACAGCGGATCTTTCAGTCCATAATATTGTAGTGATATTAACGTAAACTAAGTAACTGTCTTTAAACACTGAAAGAATACTGCTGACGATACAAAATATAACTATAACTAAAATGAACAAAGAAAGGGCACTGATCGCACACACTTACCAAATCTGTAGAGACAGGACAATCAATACATACTGGAGCTGCGTCTTTTTTTAAAGGAGACGAGCAGCAAATCTGGATTTTACCATTTCCAGATGAGAAAAGCTCTCGAGTAAAAATTTTTCCGTACAAACGTATTTCTGCTGCGCGTCACGTGCACTGTAATCCACATGTGAGTCCAGCAGCGCTCTTATAGAGAGAATCAAATCAAATCAGAAAATGAAAACAAAACCTTAAAAAAAAAAAGAAAACAACACTGACGACCCGTATCTCCAAACAATTCTTATTCTTTTCCCACTTCTTTTGGCAACACATGTGGCATCTCTCTGCCGTCTGAACACTGTTACAGGTACTGTCTTTAAAGCTAGCATGCATATTAATGAAGTTGCAGCGTATACATAACAGAGCGTGCTGATTGGTTTGAACCAAGTCTTACTCATGAATAAATGCAACACACTCAGAGACGTAATAAGGCACTTCCAGGTACAGACGTCCAGTCTACACGCTGGAATACACACTAAGATCTCATGGTCGTGACGCAGCTTCAAAAATTAGTTTCAAACCGAAAGTACGAATTTGCTCGAAATAACGCAAAAACAACCGATTTTCACTTTTTAGGGAAATATATGTGTCCTAGTAGTGTTTTTAGCAGTGTGGGGCACATATACGACTGTCAACAACTCAAAAAATGTTTTTTGGTGTTTCGTGACCCTTTAACAAACAGATATCCACCACAAACACATAACGACACAAAAATCTGAGCTAAACCCTAAGAAATAAAGTGTCCACCACAGTCTTAAAAAAGTGTTTCTTAATTGTAAATGTAAACCATTTTTGTGAAACTCATCTGAAAGAGAGTTTTATTAAATAAAGTTTTCAAGTAAAGCCCTCAGCTAAAAGCTTTCTGAATAGGAATGCTGATGCCCGTGACACAATGCTTTGGAAAACCATTATTGAAATATGTCAAGAGGAGTGCTGCAGTTTCTGGAAATGATCTCATTGGTAAACAGGTTAGTTTTGGTCATTATATGCCTGACACAGACGCGGGTCTCAGGTGGACAGTAAGGTTAAGCTGTTCCCCTGTCGAGTAATTACATGACCCTCATTGTAATCATTTCTGTGATTTAATTAGTCCATCGCCAGGGTCTTTAACGCAGTTCCACAAATATTATGGTTTAAGCAAACATTGAAATAACATAATGAATGTTCTGTCAGGAAAAATTCTAATGATCATCCAGTGATGTTCAACCCATTTCTCAGTGAATATAGGCAATGTAATTTGGTGCATTTAAACAAAACAGATTCATTGAACATATATTTATTAAAATAATAGTCACCAAACCTATTTAGAAATTATAAAAGAATACAATTAAATTTAAGCAAAATATTGAAAGAAAACTACAACCCACAAAATTTCAACTAAATTCTCTTTTTTTTTTGTTTCTCTTGACTTTTCCTCTTTTTATTAATTTATATTTATTAGATTTCTATCACGGCCACGCAGTGGCGCAGTGAGTAGCACGTTCGCCTCACAGCAAGAAGGTCGCTGGGTTGCTGATTCGAACCTTGGCTGGGTCAGTTGGCGTTTCTGTGTGGAGTTTGCATGTTCTCCCTGCGTTCGCGTGGGTTTCATCCGGGTGCTCAGGTTTCCCCCACAGTCCAAAGACATGCGGTACAGGTGAATTGGATAGGCTAAATTGTCCGTAGTGTGTGTGTGAATGACTGTGTTTGGATGTTTCCCAGAGATGGGTTGCGGCTGGAAGGGCATCTGCTGTGTAAAAACTTGCTGGATCAGTTGGTGGTTCATTCGGCTGTGGCGACCCCGGATTAATAAAGGGACTAAGCTGAAAAGAAAATGAATGAATGAGTTTTCTATCACATATAAATTTGGGTGTACTAGTTTATGCACTTTTATCGTAAGTTTTTTTTAGATAAGCTCCAGATTTGGCTTCAGTACTGACTAATATAATGTATATGCATAAATACAGTGTTGTACAGCTTCCTATTAAAAAATATGATCTTAAAAGATAGATTTTTGAGGGGTGTACTCATATATGCTGAGCACTGTATGTATGAAAAGATTCAATAAATGTAAAACAAATTACAAAGCGAAGAAGCCCAGTAACAAACATCACTTTAATGCATTATGGAACAACCAAAACACACTTTCCTCACACACCACAGCTCTCTGAAGGATTCAAACATTACAATCTCTGTGAAAGAGACCTTTAAAGGGATTCTGCTGATCAGAGGTCTGCTTCAGTTCATTTCTTACACATAATAATCCCATTACATGGACAGAATGGGCAAAACAAAACGTAGATTCACAACAGATATGGAGATGGTGAATTGAAAGGGACAGTTCACACAAAAATTTTAAATCTGTTATTATTTACTCCCTTGACTTGTTTTTTTCTGTTGATGTTTTGAATAATGTTGACCATTGACAACCACAGTGGCAAAACCCTTACGCCCTATTCACACGGGGCGTCAGCGTCAACGCTTCCCATTCACTTTGAATGGGTGACGTCAGGCGTTGCCGAACTGCATTGTGGATCTGTCGGCGCCGCTTCAGAAGCGTTCCTCGCTGCAGAAGTTGGGACCAGCTCAACTTTTCAAGCGCCGACGGAAGCGTCAGCCAATCAGATCGCTGTATGCAAATACACCAGCTCAGACAGTGGCCTATTGCTGACTGAATTTCATTGGCTGACGCTTCTATGACGATCGTTTCAGCTCCAACTTCAGACACGCCCTCTGTCAAGCGTTGACGCTGAAGCCCCGTGTGAATAGGGCGTTACAGTTACCAATTTTCAACATTTCTTTAAAATATTTCCTTTTGTGTTTACTCAAACAGGGTTGGAACAAGTCAATGGTGAGTAAATGATGACAGAATTGTCATTTTTTGGGTGAGTTATCTTTTTAAAGCTCAAACTGGATTCCTGGAGGGCCGCAGCTCTGCACAGTTTTGCTCCAACCCTAATCAAACACAGCTGATGCAACTAATCAAGGTGGTCAAGACTCACTAAAACCCACACTAAAAGCTGCGGCCCTCCAGGAATCCAGTTTGTCATCTATGCTTTAAAGAAAAAAGTTAGTCCAAAAGCGAAAATTTGTCTAAGGCCATGCTAGATATAGGTGACTTCAGCAGAACGTTAAAGACGATTTTTTAGTTGAAACCCAAGTCTTTGGTGATTATAAAATGCAAGTCACTGGCACAACAAGAGAGAAACATCAAATACAGATCAAACAAAATGAATATCTGCACTGTAAAACATATCTGAAAAAGAGCAGTTTTCTGTATTTTATGATTAATTTAAAAAATAATAATAAAATTCCCATTTATTTAAGTTTTTGAATGTCTTAAGCTTTCCTCTAACAACTTTTAATGTTAAAAAAATGAAAAAGTGACTTTTATTAATATATATTTTTTGTAATTTAAAGCGATATTTTCTGGCTTGGTGTTATATATTATGGTACAAAAACTTGTAATAAATTGATAGTTTATTTCCTCTTATTTAACAGACATATTCCTCTACATATTATTTATTATACATTATATAATTTCAAACTACTAAAATGTCAATAAAAGACACTTTGGTAAACTACACAGTTTAATTTTCAACATCAGAAGTCGACAGAGCAGAGATCAACTTCCCATAATGCAACCCACAATTGTAAATAAACAGAAAACGCTTGTCAATCACGAAAACGGTTAATTAATGGGTATTTTTTTTTTTTTACAATATTTTACAAATATCAGAAATAAAGGTACAAGGGCTGTCACTGGGGTAGTACCTTTTCAAAAGGTACACATTTGTACATAAGAGTCCTTAGTGGTACCTCAAAGGTACATATCAGTACCTAAAATGTACCTTTGAGGTACCACTATGGACTCTTTTAAAAAGGTACTACCCTAGTGACAGCCCTTATACCTTTATTTCTGAGAGTGTGTGTGGCTGTTGATGATACAATGAGGTCAATACTTTTACTTAAAATACTTTTAGATGAAAGATCATTCCAGAATAAAATTATGAACATTTTACTCAAACTCGTACCTAACATGTCCAGTAAACCCAGAACAACTGAGAATTTTCAAGTGGTTGTTATTATTATTTTTCCAAAGCTGTATGTCTGCCAACTAAGCCTGGTTTCTCTCAAGGTTTTTTCCTTCACTTTTGTACATTGGTAAAGTGTGTTCCTCACCACTGTCAGCACTGGCTTGCTTGGTTTGGGACTTGTGGAGCTGTGGAGCTGAAGTTTAAACCACACTGAACTGAACTAACCTTCAACACTGATAACTGGACTGACAGTTTCAATTTACTATAATCTTCTATGTTAGGCTGCTTTGACACAATCTACATTGTAAAATCACAATAAAAATAAAGATGAATTGAATTGAATGTCCACCACAGACAAAATAACAGTGCCATGGAAATCTGAGGTAACTACGGAACAATTATTCTACATTTGTCCACCAAGTGAATTCAACATGGCTCCTGCTGATACTTGGTGTAATGAAACTGTAACTAATTTACATCGCTCGAGAATGATGGGAACATATTGGCAGCAGTGACTGGTTTTAATTTAGTTTTACCTTCATGTCAAGTCCCAAAGTGCTGGTAGATGTTAACTTGCATTTTATAAATCACCACAACAGTCACCTCTTGAAAGGTGAGTACATAAACAGAACATTTGGTGAACTATCCCTTTAACATTTTTGATTTTATACTAAAAATACAATGAAGACATGATTTGAAAACTAAAATCTCTCCATCAATGAAGTCAACAGCTTTTTCCACTTGTATCAGAAATAATCTAAACTCTACGCATTTCTTCTTTCCCCCCACACGCATTTCAATATGTGTTTGTTCAATTCTCTGTACACAACCTAAATTATAAATATATACATATATATTTTAGAGATAAATATAAATCCATTATTATATGCATTATTCCATCTAAATAAATAAATAAACATCTTCACTGGCACAGCTTCATTATCATCATTATTAATATTATTGTGTCATCATAACCACTCTAATCAGTTGCACTGTCATCTACATTACCAATGACATTGGTGGAAACATACAATCGACTCTTAACCTGAAACAACCATTTATCTCTCACAAATCACACACAGTTAAGATTAAGACATATGTTTTGAGTCTGATTGCACTTTGATTCTATGCTAACCACATATTTTTCCTCATTTATAGCCTATTTATGCTTATGTACTTCGTAGACCGACTGAGAAAGTGTTACAACAAAAATACAGCTCCAACATGTGGATAATACGTTATATGAACTAAACTTGGCAGAAGCGTTGGCCTAGAGTGTAGAGAATCAATCTACACTTTCCAGGCATGACTTAATATTGACAGAGCTGTGAAAGCATGTTCACTGTTGTGCAGACACACGAAGACTAATGCACTTACACAGTGATACAGACCGTTACAGAAACCCTGAGAGGCCATGCATTATTATTTATATATTTTGTTGGAAGTCTTTTGACTTAACTTTCTTGTGATCTTGAAATAACGAAAATCTTGATTTACACTAACCGGCCACTTTATTAGGTACACCTTACTAGAACCTGGTTGGACCCTCTTTTGCCTTCAGAACTGACTTAATCCTTCATGACATAGATTCAACAAGGTACAGGAAATATTCATCAGAGATTTTAGTCCATTTTGACATGATAGCATCATGCAGTTTCTGCTGATTTTGTTGGCTGCACATTCATGATGTGAACCTCCCGTTCCACCACATCCCGGGTGTTCTATTGGATTGAGATCTAGTGACTGTGGAGGCCATTTGAGTACAGTGAACTCATTGTCATGTTCAAGAAACCAGTCAGATGATTCACGTTTGAATCATGGTGCGTTATCATGCTGGAAGTAGCCATCAGAAGATGAGTACACTGTGGTCATAAAAAGATGGACACGGCCAGCAACAATACTCAGGTAGGCTGTGGCGTTGACACAATTGGTACTAATGTAGTCGCAGGATGGATCCATGCTCTCATGTTGTTGTCAATTTCTGACTCTACCATTCGAATGTCACTGCAGAAATCGGGTATCATCATACCAGGCAACTTTTTTCCAATCTTCCATTGTCCAATTTTGAGGAGCCTGTGAGAACTGTATCTTTGGTTTCCTGTTCTTAGCTTACAGGAGTGACACCCAGTGTGGTCTTCTGCTGTTGCAGCCCATACACCTCAAGATTTGACATGTTGTGCGTTCAGAGATGCTCTTCTTCATACTATTATGAAGTTATGTTATTTGAGATACTGTTGCCTTTCTATCAGCTGGAACCAGGCTGGCCATTCTCCTTTGACCTCTTGCATCAACAATTATTTGTACGTACAGAATTACTACTCACTGGATGTTTTCTCTTTTTCTGACCATTCTCTGTAAACAAATACACATATCATCTTTCTTCCCCATTCTGATGCTCGATTTGAACTGCAGCAGATCGTCTTGACCATGACTACATGCCTAAATGCATGTTCTTGCTGCCATGTGATTGGCCGATTAGAAATTTGTATTAACAAGCAGTTGAACAGGTGAACCTATTAAAGTGGCCGGTGAGTGTAAATAGTCTATATACATTTTTCATTAATACATATTTGTTGTGTGTATTTAGCTTAAAGGGGCTAAAAAATTTGTCCCTAAAATGGTTTTAAAAAAAATAAAACTGCTTTTAATGTAGCCAAAATTAAAAATAAGACTTTCTCCAAAAGAAAAAAAACATTATCAGACATACTGTAAAAAGTTCATTGCTCTGTTAAATCTAATTTAGGTATG